ATAGGTGAGACTATTAATAAAAAGTATAATTAATCAATTGATTTAGAATAGGTATCACCTATATTGCAAGAGATCCTCAATAGCTATAACTGCACTTTAACCTTTAGCGGTAAAATTATATATACTGTATATACTGTATATACACATATAGTATTAAATCATACAATTCTAGCAGTATGTGATTATAGTTCAATAATTCGCAGCTGATGCTGAAATTTTCGGGTCTCTATTTAGAACTAAAATCTAAAATCCATCTATATACTTCAATTAATAAACTCAAACTATTATATGGACTAAAAAAATTTAATAATAAAATAATCAAAATTTCAGCACTAGCCGTTTTCAGCATCAGCTGCGACAATAAACAATGCTTTTCAATTCATCAGATTAAACAAATAAGGTTTAATATCCAGATTCAATAGCTAACTGCACTTTAACCTTTAGCAGTAAAATTATATATACTGTATATACACGTATAGCAGTATAGTATTAAATCATACAATAAATATATTTTTATATTATCAACCAACACTTTTTATACTGTGCTATATTATAAGAATTTGGGTCAAAACAGATTCCCGAAAGAACATAATACCGACAAAATTAGCCAGCACTAGCTATAATGCTGGCCAATTTAGTCAGTGTTATGTTCTTTCGATAATCTGTTCGTGATTTTGACCCAAAATCAGAATAAGTAAGGTCTATGAAAATTAACTATCGTAGTAGGCATTGCTACTGACGCACAAACCGTAAAGCACCATAAGGCAGCAATCAAATAGCAACATAGTCAGCTAATTATTACGTGTAAATAAAATTTTGTTTAATTATATAATAGGAATTTCGATTATATGTCCATACGTGCAAATAACGATACGTACTGAGGATCTCTGCAAGGAATTACATTATTTGAGGTTGGAGCATGGTAAAAAGGACTAAAATTTTAATTTCTTAGCCCCTCTTTTTTTTTTTTGCGTATACCAATCTACTTTAAATATCTTTATATAAAAACAAGTAACATAGTTCAACTACATGACAATTACATATGTAATACAGTAAATACATAAATCCATAAAATCACAAAACTTGAAAAAACTCGCCAGACTTACGCTTGTCAACATGTTTCGACTATATGTCGGCGTATCAATAGTACAGAAACATAGGAAGCAGTTGAAACGCAAATAATTCACTGTTAACTGTTAAATAACTGTTAAATTAGAATCATCTATATTATTATGCAATTCTTTATGAAAAGTAAATAAATTGATTTCTAATACATAAAAAAGACAAAACTGTAAAAACATTGTAATTTTAAACAAGTTTACAAAGAAAACCGACCATTTTTTTAGTCTTCTTCACTCTCACTATCGACGGTTTTAAGCCATTGTACAAAAGGCTCCATTTGTTTCAAAAATACCGTCTTGCCACTGTTTACAGCACCTTTTTCAAACCAATATAAAATAGCACTTTCTGAAACAACATCTTCGTTGTATAGAATTTGTACAATTTGACGAAAATGTTTCATCAATTTTGTATCTTCGTAACAGTAAGTTTGAACTTTTTGTACAAGTGCAAGTTCAGTTTTCGGATTAGTTGAAAATGCACCAAGAATAGTGGAACATTGCTAACAAAGCAGAAGGTAATTAATTCTATTGTCTATAATGGTTAATATTTGCAAGATTAATTAATCACTTAAATATTACTTACTTTAACTTGACGTAACGCTTGTGCTTCGATTTGTTCAGAACGAGAACCCCAGTCAACAGCTTGCATCATTGATTCCCATACGACCTTCACAAAGTCCGATTCTTGCCAACTACCTTCCTTCATTTGATGTTTGAGGTAATTAATAACCTAAAAATTAAATAGAGAATATAAAATTAATAAAACTACATAAATTTAATATAAATTTAAAATATAAATTTAATTTAATAAGTGATTTATATAAAATTACCTCAGTGGGGATGTTATCAGCTTTTAACATCTCTTTAACATGATCAATGGTTTGTTCTTTCATGGAATTCTTTTGTTTTTGATTATGATATTCAACAAGTTGTTTCATATCTTCAGCTTCAAAATAACGAGCAAAATATTCTTCGTCACGTTTGTTAGGAGGAAAGAATTCCATAAGTTTATTGTCCATTCCAGCCTTTTTGAGAGAGCTACCTAAATGGTCAATATTCTGTTCGCTGAGATAAGCTTTGAACACCGCCGTAACAAACTGGAGTGAGAGGCCTTTTATTTTTTAGAGAATGAATTTATATTATTGACAAAAATCAAAATTTGAAATCAATGTAAAAATAAAAAAGAAAAAATCAATTAATTTTAATACCTTCTTTGACAAGATGTTCCTTGAACAGAACAGTCAAAACATTAATGTTTATCAGTTGGCCAGAAACAAACAAGCCAATAGCAGTTGCAAGTTTGTTATTCTCATCAGTACTCCATTTGTTAATGTATTGAAGTAAATTTTTGATTGTTTCTTCAAAGCTGCGCATCAAATATTTGTAGCGCCTGCCGATTAGCTTATTGAAAACATCAACATGTTTTTTGACACTTTCAATATTATCTTCTGCTGAGAAGATTGAAAATGGACTGCGTTGTGCACCATCGTCAAGAATTGTACCGCCGGGTGCTGATTATTAATTAAATATATTATTAGTATATACATTTAACAACACGATCATAATGTATGTACATCAAAATTTTCGAAATTTTACGAACCTAATACACCACCGGTAAGAAGAATTTCAAATAAAGTTTCACCGTATTTTCTATATTCAAGTGTGTTACCAGCAATATCCAGTTGTTGATAAATATCGTCAAAGTCTCCTGGCTGAGCGTTATTAAGTGTTTTTAAAATACCTTCTCTAAAAACTGAGATGATTAAAAGTTTTTTTTTTAGGTAATTATTTCGATTATAAGAAACCGATTATAAGTTAAGACAGAAATTTTACCAGTAGGTTCGTACTTGGCCTGAGCTTTTTGCAGGCTCTTATGTATAAAACAGAAAAAAGAAGTTAGCATCCAGATGGAATATAATTTTAAAACTTTAAATCAATAAAGTTGATGACAAACTTTTC